AATCAAACCCCGCCAACAAAAGTTCAAATTAACCAGAACATATATTACATTACATAACTTCTTTACTTGTACAATTATATTATATACCCCACAAAAATCTTGTTCTTGTAGTCCGTTTTCACGTAGGCATTAAGAAAATGGCTGCAAGTTCATTCTCGTGGAGTAGGAGGAGCATGAAGGTGTGCTCATGGCAAAGGTTTTCTACGCAAATTCGGGAGCAGCGGGCGAGGCTTTATATTATATGGAGATGTACTGTGATGCTTCTGTGTTGGAATGAATAGTAGAGAGTTGTAGTAGTGATCTTCGAAGATGGAGGCACCTCAAAGCAACAGAAGATATATGAAGGTTTTGAATGAATTCCCAGTAAACTAACTATATATATATATATAATCAGAAGTTTTGGCCGCGGCCGCCGGCTGGAAAGGGTAGTGTGTGTTAATGTAATATAATTATAAGTAATACTACAGTTACAAAGTCCTCATACAAAGATATATCTATAAAGTGATGTGTCATACTATGATTGGACGGTAAATTTGACTTTAGTTAAAAAGTTGACTTCACAAATTCACTCTCCTAATCATAATATGACATATCACTTTATACACATATCTTTGTGTGAGGACTTTGTAAGTAAAGTATTATTCTATAATTATATAGTGTATTGTAAAGTAAGGTAGCAATGCAAGTTCATCGACGAAGGCTTGGTCGATTCGATTGTTAATGTTAAATACATGTATTTAATACTATGATACAATTAAGGCTGATATGATAACATCTCTACATTCAATTCTGCAATTCTATCTCTTTTTAATTTCTTTGTTCCTTTTATTCATTTATTTACCATTTGAAGGTTAAAATTCATGTCCAAGACCTGTTGAAAAATATGAGAAAGAAGGCACCAAAGAAAAATAAAAAAATAAATAAAAAACTACCTCTAGTTAGCTTGGCGGTTGACTTGGGACTCTTGAATGTATTATTCAAGAGGTCCTCAGTTTGAATTCTCACGACTACTAATAAGAAATAGTCATTAGAGACTTATTTGACCATTAACTTCAAGGCTTCGGGGAACTAGTTGAGATGTGCACAAGCTGAGAATATTTTTTTCTTAGAGCAAATAAAATATCATGTTCGAATACAATGATATATAGCCACATTTTCAGTATTTAATTCCTAAAAAAATTAATATGTTATGATCTAGTATTATGTATAAATATAATTAGAGGTTTTAAAGAAATTAAAAAAGAAGTATTATGTATTATGTGCACATTAATTAATTCTCTCGCTTCTGCAAATTGTCTGATAAATTAACCACTTAATTAAATTTTATGTTAATTAATTAACATAAAACTCCACTCGATTCCAAAATATCAATTAACCTAAATATTATTCTCATAAAAAATCTCATGATAATCTTATAATTCACAGTTGACACTAAAAGATTGATATATTTTTTCATTTAATTTTTTTTGTTAAATATATAAAATAATTAAGCTATTGCAGCTGGCGTTGAGTTCATTTGTTCACCATATATAATGAAGATAAACATAAATGAATCCACTTAATTTCTTCATATTTAACATGAATTATATATATACCTCCATCTAACTTCATATATCTCATAATAATTGGAGTTCATTTAGACATGATCCCTTAAGATTTCCCACAATGATTAAATTTATCCACTCTATATTGAAAATAATTTGCATATGAAGTCTTATCCTATATTTAATTATAACACTATCCACCTTTTTTTAATTTTCTCATTACAAGGAAATAGATATGCGATACAGCGACATAAAATAACTCTCACTTTAAACAATATCGATCGTTGTTTGTCTTAACAATGACCAAATATTATATGGTAGAGTACAACTTTTCGCGAGGAAAAAAGTAGCGTATAAACGTTTCATTTATGATTACATGCATGCGTTATCATAATATTAATCCTCTATAACAAAAATCTTTAACTTTATCCTTGTTATATATATATTTTACTAATAAATATATTATTACTACTATAAAAAAATTTAGATAATTGGATGAAACTAAGATTCAATTTATATGTACATATAAACTCCAAAAAACCAGGGCTGACATGAGCTTAAATCAGCAAGGACTAATCAGAATTCAGGAAGGTTTTCTGCCGTCTGGATGCAGCCACGTCCTGTAAGGAAAAAATGGGTAAGGCCATCGTCAGAGAGGCAGGTAAACGTCAGACTTATGGGTGGCTAGGAATTGCCCACTTTTTGAAGCCCTACGCAATTTAAGGAAATCTCTCGTGCAGACAATCAATGGGAAGCAGGTTAGGAATTGTACCACACCAACTGCACACCGAGTCATGATTACCAGCTTGAATCCTCCAACTATAAATAAATGGCTCTCCTCTATTTTACGGGGATTGGCTCATTCGCCGCTCAAAACATATGCTCTCTCTTTCTCTCTCTCTACACTTATTTTCTCTATTGTAATCCAACTCGCCAAGTGCGACCTGATTGTAATCACCCATTAATATAATTACAGTGGACATAGGATTTACCTTAGAGCATCCGAACTACTTTAAGAGGTGCTATCCATTCAATATCTCTTTTTATACTTCCATACCATGTGTGATTTCTAAGTCCGTTTAACATCCTACACGCGTGAATAGTTAGTGTCAAAATCAAGCATCAACATAAACAAATAAATGTTAGACACAATACATACAAAATACAAGAAATTACAATTCTCTGATACTAATTTTCTGACACATTTATCATAAATATAATGTTTTGTGACTTTGGCTATTTCCCTAAAACGTGTAATGTATGTAACATTGTACTTATATAAATCTCCATTATTATACCTCAAAAAAAAAAAAAAAAAAAAAAAATCCCTCCGACAGCTTGGATTTTTCTTGAATTTGATCCATATCTCCAACATTCTTATTCTCACTTAGACAAATTTGATCCATTTTGTTGGAAATACAAGAACCCTTTTGTTCCTCTCTCCAAGGCGTCCAATGGGGTCACACTCCATTTAATCCATAAAAAAATTTCTGCATATTTTTGTCAACGTCTTTGAATTTTTGCCATTGGAGATAAGGTTTTGGGAAGCTTTCAATCCGCTTCTTTCTTGCCAAACTTTACCACTACAGAGTGATCTCTTCTCCACGTGGCATGAGCCCACTTGAAGAATCTTATCAACCATGCATGCGTGTCACTCGCTAAGACCACTGATTCAATCAGGACGAGTGACCCCCATCGAGATTTCAATGTCAATATGTCGTTTATTAGGTTCACATGAGAGGCCATGCAACGTTGTTATTGAAGGCGAGGGATCAAGGCTTGTTGTCTCCGTAAAGATAAGTAGGGCACAAGAAGTAAATTACATTTAATTTTCATGGCCAGAAAAAATGTATTAAGTGGCCAGCATGTCGGCCGATTGATTGGGAGGATGTATTGGCTTAATTTAGCTCGACATTTGCACGTGATGATTTTAACCCACTGATGATAGGATTTGGTGATTGATGTTTGATGGATACTGACTTTGCTTCAATCTTCATAATTTCTTCAGGGGTATTTTTCAGTTTGTGTTTATGATTCATGCATGGTCAAAATAAGGAATTTTTTAAGATTTAAGAATGTTTATAATTAACTATGACACCTAAGCGGTTCAATAGGGACTATTTGGTGTATTACTCAAGAGATTCTAAGTTCGAATTTCACCTTGGTTGCTAATAGGGTTGACCCTAAAACTTTTACCTGGAAGATAGTTTTAGAATCCTGGAGGATTAGTTGAGGTGCACGTAAACTGACCCGGACACTTCCAGTCATTTAAAAAAAAAAAAAAAAAAAAAGATTAATGGTGTAAAATTATACTTTCAAACTTTTATTAACTTAATTATGTCACTCAGATATCTTCCATGAATGTAGAAGGTATGTGTTCAGTTGAAGTTTGGTGGCATAAGTATTGATAATCTAATCGTTGAAGATTATTATAATGAAGTGTTATTTGAATTTGGGAAAGGTTGAATTAAAAGCTTGTAATAAGAGAATAAATAAGCAGTAGGCATCCATTTGAGACATGAATAACCATCTAAAGGGAAAGTTGATGACAAGTCTTAATCAGAATGGTTTAGAAAGGGGACAAGATAATAGGTCACCTTTGTCCTCTTACATAAACAATGGCCAACAGTTGTTACACACCACATATTTCTTATTTACATATCTTCAACTCTCTCTCTATATATAATCCCATAAACTTCCCAAGAAATTCGTCAAACCACAAAGCAGCTTTTCAATTTATCTTCCTACCCAATTCATCAATTCTTCTAACTCCATTTGATCAGTAGTTGTTAAAAATGGCAGCTGAGAGGAGCATGAAGTTTCGGTCATGGCAGAGGTGTTCAAAGCAACTGAGAGAGCAGCGAGGAAGGCTTTATATTATATGGAGGTGTACTGTAATGCTCTTATGTTGGCATGGCTAGAGCCTAGAAGTGGAAGATTTAAAGCAAGAGTCAGAGAGTTCCATTAAAAGACAGGCAAGTCAGATGAAGGCGGCATGATTACTGTCCACTAAAGTCTATTTTGTAAAATAATTGTGTTATAGAAACGAATTAAGCTAGTTTTATATCATGAACCCGCTCTTTCTGAGGTTCTTTAAATCATCTTCACTCTCTCTCAATCTAATCTAAATGACTTCTAATTCTCGACTGGTGGAGTACATAAACATCAATCTGGCACAGAGTGCCAAACTTAACGAATCTAATCATCAGTTTTTTCACAGGAATTTGACAAAAAATACGGCAGCTCAGTCTATATTTTCTATATCTTTATGCAGAATACAACTTAATTATAATAACCATGACTTCTAGTCAGTTGATAACTTGTGCGGCCAACAAACCTATTACCCCTGTGTCTTTTAATCAATTGAAGATCTCACTAATTTAATCAATCAATTGAAGGTTTCAATCATTTACTGAAAAATATGCTATGCTGTACAGAATAGAGATTAGTTATCGATGCAGAAAAAGTTTGAATCTCCACCCTTTATTTAGTTACAGAATAGTAATAGTAAGCTCTTTGGGAGTGCTAACATTTAAGTCCTATATTGAAGAAATATTTATGCAAAACATAGACCTCTAGATGTTCCCTCATTCCGGTGTATCCAAAATTTACAAGGTTTTGCCGTATAATTCTGATTCTTTGTCAAAGAAATCCCACCCATCATCCAAAAGCTCTTTACGGTCAGCTCCAGTTGGTTCATCTTCTAGACTACTTTTTGATGATTGGACATCTATTGAGGGGTCCTCTGGGGTTGTTTCAGACATTAGAGCTTGCTCAGCAGCCAGAGATCCAATGCTTTTGGATGAACTGCCGGATGAGGCTAAGATGCAAGTAGTCTGGCTTGAGGAAACAGACTTGCTTAATGGAACACGCTCATCAAACTTCTCCTTCAGCAATCCCACATCCTGACAAATCACAGATATTTCTCCTCTGCCAAAGGATTAATAACAAAGTTTCATTATTTCGCAAAATCTTTCCATGACAAGGTTGGTGATCTCAGGAGCAAAGCTACAGATTTCATATCATGTTGCAATGATAACAACAAATCATCACATGTAGCACAGAGTGCCAAACTTAATGAATCTAAGCTTCACTGAATAAGATCCTAGTATTGAAGCCCAGTAAAGAACGTTAAAGACTGAAAAAATAGCTAAAAATATCAAATGCAATATTGGCATGAATCCTGGCTAGTTGCTCTACCTACAAATCCTGAACTAGAAAATTTTATCTCTGGAAAATTCAGTTTATAAGAGAAGGAAGATGGTAACACAAAACCATCTTCACAAATACCACTTCAGCATATAATTTATATTCATCACAACCTAGATCCTCATATGCACCACAATAGAAGCACAATAATCAAATAAGAGTGACTGCATCCATGACCTGTTCCACTGTTGTCAACATGCCCGATTGTTCAATTAAAGCCAACCACCCACCATCCTAAGAATGTTTAGCATCAAGAGTATGGATTGAAGCACTCAAGAAGCAAACAAATCATTCAAAATATCAGTAAAGTTGACTAATTAATTTCTACCCCTTTGCATGTTTTATTAAAGGTGCCTATAATGATTTTGCAACATGGAGGATGGACAATAGTCACCAGCTATCGTATATGTAAACAAAATATTAAATTTTATGTAGAATAATCAGAATAAAAACTTACTGTAATGAATCAACAACACGACCACGGTCCATGAGAAACTCCCGTAACTGCAACAAAATAAAAGTCACAAATTATTGTAATTGAAAAATGCCTGAAAATTTTCATGTAACTCAGACTACATACCTTTGAATTCTCCTCTGCATCCTGCTGTAGAAACTTTGACTCTTGGACCACATTCTCCATAATGGCTTCCACTTCAGCAAGTGAACTTCGGGCTGATTCTTCCTTTCGCAGCTTTTCCTCCTCAGCTTCTTTCCTCACTTCCTCTGCTACAGCTAGTCGACCCTCAAGTGTTTCACGCATCTGCAGAGAATGCATATAGAAATAAACTATCATATCACCATTACCTCTATTATATGATGATACAAAATACCAAAAGGACTTGCTAAATAAGAATTATGAGATCACTGAACATTGGCTCATTCAAAATTCTAAAATCATTAAATTTCTTGGGCTGTGTGTGCCATATGAAACAAGAAGAGCCTACTAACAAAGAACAAAGTAACTTCATCAGTCAAACTAAATGTATACGACAGTTAAAGACATAAGATCTAAATACGGAACAAACGATAGTACCTCATCAAGAATTGCAAGAGATTTATCTCTTTCATCTGACAAGCTGAGTAGACGAGTTTGAAGCTCCCTTACTTCAGTAGCTAAAATTGCCTTCTCTCCATATATTTCTCCTCCATGCTGCAAAATTTATGATCTAGTGTTAGTAGGATCAATAATCAAGTAAAAAAGAATATATATTATAAAAAATTCCTTAATGGTTTGAGATCCTATATAATTACCATGTCATTTGCTGCCTTTGCACATGTGAGCATATGTTTGAGTTCCTCCACCTTTGTTAGAATATCCAAGCCTCCCTTGGAAGCTTCAATTTTAGCCTCTTCAGCAGCTTTCTCTTGGATTTCAACTTCTCTCATCATGTTCATTACTGACTCCATGGCTGAAAACAGAGTTTTCTGCGAATGTAATAGTAATTAGAAACTTTCCTATCAACAGAGAAACATATATATCTTTTCTTCCATGAAAAAGAAAATAGACTGTTCTAAATGAAGAATACTATTAAACAAATATTTCAGTGAACTTGATTAAGATATACAATAAACAGAATGAATCATATGTCTTTTCCAATATTTATTCCCCAAAATACTGCTAGTACCCAAAATGTTGCAAATGCAAACTTAACAAAATTATTTCCAAATCAAAACTCAAGCAAATATAAAGAAAAAATCACCTTATTATTTCTGGCATTTTCAATGATCTCTTCGAGGAGATCAATCCTGCATATTTGGCCAGATCTAGTAACGACAGTGTTGATTGTCAAGTCATCCTTGGTTGCACCCTTTTCAACAATATCTGAAGAACCACTGGCATCTGATTCTTTACAATCAGTAGAGGATGTGTTATAAACAATTACTGATTGAAGAAGATCAGATTCTGAAGCATCTGATGTCTCCTCTTGAACAGATGGTGGGACCAATGGAGCATCAATCATTTCAACAACCACAAGGGGACACTCTAAACATGATTTTTCTAGCTGACTTTTTCCACAAACAGATGCATCATTATCAGTGCTGCCATTGACAACACCATTTTCACATATCAAAGGGGTTGACATAACAGGGGGATTCAGTTCAGGCCCAACCTCAACATTGATGTCTTGCCCTTTGTCCAAGGAACCTGATTCACCATTGACAACACCATTTTCGTCTATCAAAAGGGTTGACATAACAGAGAGCTTCAGGTCAGGCCCAACCTTAACATTGATGGCTTGACCCAAGGAATCTGACTCACCACTCTCAATATAAGCACATCCATCAAGAGGGTCAACTATTCTATCACTATCATCCATCATTGTATTTGGCACAACAACAGGAACCTTATTTGACTTAACTTCATTGCTGCTCTCCTGAGTCTTGCCCAAGAGTATCACTTCCTCATTCTCACTATTTCCAATGTGATTACTACCATCATTTGCATCATAAAAATGTGAATCTGTGGATGCATCCAATGACTTGCTCAGACTAGTTGAATCAGTGTAATGAGTATGTGTAGAAGCAGTATTCACTGCATTTCCACTTGTAATTGCCCCTGATTCTGAAGAAGCGCCAGTGTCTCCATTTCTTAACCTTACAAGCTGCCTGCGCCTCGACAGAGTGCTTTGCTCTTCAGGTTCTGTGATCCAACATATTTTTGTAAGGCATATAAGTAGAAGGGCAAAAATACAAACAAATGGAACAATTGATGTTACCTAGAACATTAAAATAATTATGGAGGGATTAAAAAGCCTTCCAATTGAAAATTATGGTGAAGAAGAAATCAAGAAGCAAACATATTGCACAGATTAACTAAATGTTGGAATCTTGGGGTTGGAATCTAAAACTATACAAGGTTTAATAATGCAGCAATACCTCCATCAATATCAGAAAGATCTCTAATACTTTGGTCCTTGGCGAGGGTACTAGAAGCAGAAGAATCAGACAGGTCCTTGGAGGGATATCTTGAAGCAATCTGACCCTCAGAAGGAGAACTAGAGGTCTCTGATGGTTTTGTCCAATAAGGAAGAATCTCCGTGAGAACAGCATTTGCTGCTGCATCAGCATCTTTGCTATGCTCAATAGCAACAGCCTTCAATAAGCGTGCATCAATCTGTGCAGATTGAAATAAGATTCATTTCATTAGAAATATAAATTAAAGAATCAGGCTTAAATTTGGAAATACTATTTACCCAGGCTTAGTTATTTAAAAACAATATTTTCCAACAGATAATTGTAGTCCAAAAGATATGATCTATAGAGTTCAATTTTTCCATACTTATTAATGAATACATAGATCCTTAATCTGTTTTACAATAATACAAGTGATCCATTGATAAGTGGATAAATCACATTTGGAAGGAATACAAGTAGTATGAATTTGTCCCATAAGTACTTTAAATTTCAAGCAGTACACAAATCCAAAGGTGAGAGTAAAGTTGCTAGCTTTAAAAACATATGCAGGGGCCTAACATGCACTACGTGAAACTCTTTTCTCAAGCTAAATAGCAGTTAAAAATCCGAAAAATAAAAGTTAAAAGCACCATTTCTCATTATAACACCAATAAAAAATCTTCACAAGCATATAATTCCATCCAGGAATACATAAGTTTACAAAGTGTGATACTAGATTATATAAAAGGATCATACCTGAGGAAATATCTCACTTAAGAAACGAAACACCGTATTGAAACCCATATCCAAGAGCTATTTATCTGAAAAAAAAAAATAATAATAATAAGAGACTAATTGCTTTAATTATAATTAACAAAACGAACAAAAGAAATTAATTATTCTTAATTAAGAAAGATCATTTCAATAGATTTAAGGAATAAATTAATCATAATTAACCTAAGAATCATAGAAAATACAATAAACAAAATTGAAGCAAATGAACAAACAGTGAAACCCTGCAATACACATAAAATTAAATCCAAGATCATGTTTTGTATTTGCAGTAAAAATTAAAGGAAAAAAAAAAACAAACAAATGGATTAAAAATTGTCTTCGAGCAAGAAAAAGAAAAAACTTTAGGCCATTAATTAATCATCTATTTGGTTTCAAAAACAGAGGAAAAATCAGATATTATATTAGAAATACCCAAAATTCCAATTATAAAAAACCAGTTGAGAAACGAATTAGTAACACGAACCGCATAATTCGATACCAAAACAAAAATAAATAAATTCACATATGATCACACTAAAAGAAAACAAAAACAGTGAAAACTCTCCTTTAGGTTACCGATTTTCTTTTCATTACAGAGAGTTTTCTTCGTAACCAAAACGAGGAAAAGTGAACAAAGCACAGACCTTTGCAAAGTAAAGCGAGTGAAAAAAACAATGAGAGGAGAGGAGAGGAAGAGGGAAAATAGAGACGGAATATGTAGCGTTTGTTTCTCTGGAAAAATTAGGAGAGAGTGGAAGGTGAGAGAGAAGAGGAAGAGATTGGTACGGTCTTTGCAATGTTGGTTGTTTCGGGAAAACCAAAACAAGAGCCTTTGAGCTGTTAAGAGGAGACCTACGCAGCTAAGAAACAGAATAAGAGTGTAATATCTAAGTTTTGTGGGGGTATTTTCGACTTTACATAGTTAATGATTTGACGTCCGTGGATTTGGATTGCATGGCAGAGATTCAGGGCGGCGTGCCAATCAGGAGTTAAAACAATTTTGGTCCATAATGTTCGATCAAAAATTATGGTCCAATATAATTTAGAAGTAATCTTAAGTCCTTTTCTTTCAGGTAGTATTATTCGAAGAATTTTATTAAAGTCTAATCCCTGCTCGGTTAATTATTAAAATTTTTAATATAATTATCAGGTAAAGCCCTTTTTGTTAAATAATTCTGTCGTTTCTAAAGTCTGCATAAGACAAGCTTAGGGGTATTTTAGACTTTTTCTAAAATATTTTATAGTGTATTACACCATTACTATTATCAACTAATATTTGATTAATAAGGATGTAAATGTTATTTTTAGATTTCACAGAACTTCATATAAATATAATACACTGGCTAAACCTTGAGGACAAAAATGTACTTAACTCTTGAGATGGGTAACGGAAATGAAGATGAGTTAAATTTCGTGGAAACTTCGTTAAAGGATGACGTCACAGATTAGATTTGATAAGAAAGGAAAAGTGTTTGATTTTAGGTCATATTTCATAATACAAAGGAATTCAGTTACTTACTTTACTTTATTTATTTATTATTATCTTCATCTTAAATAAGGACTTAATTTATTTATCTTTTATCTTTATTATGTAGTATTTTTCCGTATGTTCCTTTCCCTTTTCCTGTATTTTATATGAAATAATGTAATATTTCATTCACCATGAGAGGGATAGTATAGTTTTTTAATTGAAGTAATTATTCTTTTTATATAACTACTTTAGGAATAATATTTATAATGAATAATACTACCATTATACATAGACACCATTTTTCTGGATAGGAATAGAGTATTTTGAAAAAAACAAAAAAAACGCAACCCAAATCAATTATATGAAAATGTAGTTGGAGTAGTTTATACATCTAACATTATTGTAAATACATACCTATAGAAAAGTATTGCGATGCTATAGACTTTTACGATCGAAGTGGCGTCGATAACAAAATTAGTAAAGACACATGAATTATGGGAGTTTGGTCATGGAAAAGCAATCAGCAAATGTCCTGTACAAGAACCCAAAAGAGATTACTATGATCTCCAAGCTTTGAAATGTACTGGTGTCATAGCATTTACATATCACCCACAAAAGAAATGAAAAGGTAAAAGAGTGGACAACCTCATTCTTCAGTATCATTAATCAACAACTCTCCAAGCTAAAAACCCCTGCCTTGCCTCCAGACCATCCGCTGTGTACATTTCTATCAAGGGTGGTCGAGCGGAGTGGCAACAGTTATGAACAACAGTTACCAAAATTAAACAAAAAAAGACAACAGAGAACTAAACTATGGACTACAAGCATGCACATGAATCTACCGAAAATGATTCGGCTACTGATGATGACGAACAATGAGTTATAGCTTGTTGCCTAGAGGAGCTTCCATTTTTTTGTCGATAGACTTTGTTGAATGTAAGTCATCCTCCACAGACTTCTTTGGCGTTTGCCGTTGCTGAACATGGACGCCCTAAACCAATATATAATTAGAAAAACAATATAATCCTCAAACCAGCTTACAAGAATAAACTTAGGATCTAGACACAAACTATAGATTTCTAGGAAATGTATAATTGTTTTTTGCGTCTGTAAATTTTCATCTTGGTTAGGAAGTTTCTAATATTAAAAGTAATTTGTCAAACTTCAAAACAATCATCTTCAAGACATGGAAATTTCGTGAATGAGATATAAATATGACATTTAGAAAATTAATGGTGTTACTTACACCAGACTTTTGACCATTCAACCTCCGATTTGATGGAGCTCGTGCAACTGATGAAGCAGCAGCCACAGCAGCAGCAGCCACACGTATCCTGAAAAGGTAATCAATATTCCAATTTCTAATAAACTAATTGCATTTTCTTAAAAAAGAAAATTTAAAACCCAGGAAAATTATATGCCCTGATACCTTTTGTGAACGTCAACATACACATCAGTCTCATCCACAATTTCTTCCTGCAATCGAACAGTGATCACAAGATTGTTAAAAAGCCAGGAGCAAAATAAAATTTCCACTGGATAATTTCAATGATTGGGGTGCCAACCGAGCCAAAGGTTAAGCAAATAAATAGATAGTTTCAGATCTAAGAGGTGGAAGCAGAGCTTACTTGCAGAAGTTCTTCAAAAACGTCCTCAAGGGTGATGATACCAATGACTTCTCCATCTTCAATATCCTCGGACAAATGAGGCGAGTTTTTCTCAGCAGCGTCAGTTTGTGTTGCAGTTTGTCTATCTGTTTCAGACTTCAAAATTTTCTCAACATTGATCATAACACTTTCTGATACATCAGTAACATCATCATTCTTGGCCAGCAAGGGAGTAAGTAACTGAGAATTTCCACTGAAGACTTTGTTTTCCTCAATTTTCTTTTCATCACGGATAGGCTGAGAATTTTTGCTTGTTTCTTTAACCTTAACGACGGCAGCCATATGACTGCTTCCCTTTTGAAACTCATTAAGGATATCATACAAAGGCATGTCTCCTGGAACCCTGAATGTTCATACTTTAGAACTCATACATTTGCTTAGACAAAAAACATACAATGTATAATGGGAAGTAAAATAAAAAAGAAGGCACACCTAGGCATTCTTCGGATAGAAACAGCACTGACTGGAGTCTCAGTTTCTGCCCGAACTGTGAGAAGGCTTTTCACCTAAATATTAGTGAAATAACATAAAATAATTAAAGTAAGAATGTAAAAGGATAACCAATTCAAAATCAGCACCTATAATTAATAGCAATCAAATATCAACATACGAAACTTGAAATTGGTTTGGGTTTATGAACCAACCAATAAGAGACCAATAATGTTTTTTGGATTTCCAGAATAGACAGGTACACGACTATGTCCTTTTGCCAGAATTTTTCCCATAGCTTCCCTGCATTAGAAGTCAGAAACAATCTACTAATGAGCTGATATATAAGTAGACAATGACATGCACCAGCATGACTCCCTAGATTATGGGGAATGATAGGGAAAGGCAATGTCCATTCCATCTTTAATCCATCCATATATTGTCCTCACAAGTTAAATATACTCTACAGATTAGACTATGGTCCTTCAGCTGTGAATGATATATATCGATCTTTTGCAAAATCCTTCTTTTTCATCTCCTAGCTAGTTCTGAGTCCTCTGACTACAAAGGATCCTGTTCTACCTCAAATACCCATTTATTTAGAAAACCAAAGAACCTGAGAATCGAGGATAAAACCTAACATGGTATAGGCTGTAATTAAAAAAGAGGACCATTTTAAAGCCAAACTCACCAGTTTAATTTTGAATTGACATCCAAGGAAAACGTTGATTCAATGGGTGTCATAGCTTGTGCTGCAGTCTGTATGTCATGAGAAACTTGAGATTTTTATACATTTTACAAAACAAAGACGATGCAACAAAAAGAAGAGCAATTTAAATTTGCCTAAGTTTAGAGGGGACACAAGCCTATGGATTATAAGTTATGGAATGTTGAAATCATATAAAGTGATACTGGCAACCTAGCAACTGGCAGGTACACTTGAAGAGTTGAAGTGCATATGGGAAAAGGAAGGAACCAAGCCAACAATATAGCAGCAAGGAACTTGCAATATATGTCACATATTTAGCTTGTTAATGGAGCCTGTGATGTTTATTTCATTGATAAGTCTCCCAACAGAAAACTATGGTACAAATTGTTGTCAAGTCCACTCTCCAAGAGTTAAAATGGCCATTCATTACAGTTGCTCTAAATACAAGAAATTAAGGTGGTTTGCATCATCAAATGCAATATTTGAGGAAAGCATCCCCCTTTTAAAAGCAGCTGTTCACACATTTAGAGTCAAATGGTAAGTTGCCACTTCTAATACCATAATTAAAAGATTTTCCCTTTTATAAAACCATGAGTCAAAATTAGAATAAAATATATTTCCATAAATTCTACAAATCCTTCTCATCACCTTCAGTATGAGATGCTTATGAAAGAAGTTTCTATGCAGAAAAGATGCAGAGAACCCATAGCATAAATACCTTTTCAGTTAAATCTAGCGCTCCACTGATAATGGTTGTCTCATCATGCGAAAGTTCACCCCCCTTACCAGCCTAAATTTGACAGAAGCAGCAAGTTAACAAAATAAATTATTTTCTCTAATCACTTCTTGTTTTGTTGTCTGATAAAAAAACAACAGCAACCAATTTTATTAATAATTTAGAAAATTTTAGGGCAAAATATGTCATACAGACCACTGATCCAAGCAGGTTACCTCTTGGCCATGGATAGAGACAAGGGCTTTCAACTGAGCCCGCCTGAATAAAACATTATTATGTCCAAGAACAGCATCCAGAATCTGATAGCATTTAAAGTTAGAAATTTTCTTAAATAATATCAATAACTTCTCTATTCTTTTTCCAAGTGCAAAGAATGGAGAGAATACAACAAGAATGAAATGATGAATTATGCAATTATTCAACTACATGATCTGCCAAATAAATGCTGCCTAGTTTCAAAACACATCAAAACAAGAATGTTCTGTTTAAACACTCCCAAAACAATGATATCAAATACAGAGGCTTTTCTGCATGTCAACTTGGGGGGTAGACTTGGTTACAAAGTATTAAATTTTGGACAACATATCTATTTCAGGGCCACTCTGCAATGATCAGATGCACCACTTGATTGGTAGAGCCACTAGAATTTAAAACAGTTAAAATATTACCATATGTATCTGAGCTTTGTTGGTATAATCTAACCAAATTTTTTCATTGACAAATATTTAAATCACAAACATATCTTCCCAAATGAGACCATTGAAAAGGTAAATTTTTGGGTTTTTATGCATAATAAATTCCTTAACTTAAATTGTATCATTCCTAGGCACGGTTGGTTAATACATAAATGACGATAAATGCATACAGTGTATCATAAACAGAAACAAATTCATCATTAACCAACTTCTTACGATAATCACAATTCATACTCTAACGGAGACTGGAAATGCATATGTTGAATATCAATTCATTGGATTTCAAACCAAAGTGCTTATTTCTAATATCAATTCAACAAAAACAAATTCATCGTTAACCAACATCTTACTATAATCACACTTCATACTCTAATGGGGGGCTGGATATGCATATGTTGACTATCGACTCACTGGCTTTCAAATCGAAGCGCTTATTCATCCAGAATTGAATATGCCTATGGAATTCCACAGAATCTAACCACCATAACATTCCATTATCACCTTCAGACGAGGTTCAAAAAGTACTTAATTATTCTTGATGAATTAAGGAACATCTTTAATCCATCTGATCAGAGTCATAGTGCAATAAATTTCACAAGTACAATCGAAATTCAACTAATCCATCACATGATTACAACTTACCTTTCCAATAGGATAAGCAATTGGATAACAGATAATCATCAGAATACGCACAAGCCACACAAAATTAGCTCCAACAGAGAGTCCATACCTTGAGCATATAGCTTGCGGAATAACCTGACAAAAGATGTATTCCATAAATCACTTCCCTCCAAGACTACAACACTTAAAATCCAACCCACAATAATCAGAAACAAATCAAACCTCTCCAAAAGCAAGAACAAAAGTAACAGACAGCAAAACTGCGACAAAGGGATGAAAAATTTTATCAAGGTATATAGGCAAAGCCTGCAAGAACAAAACAAAAGTCACAACAACAATAAAAACTAATCAACACGGTGATTCACATAGTACTAAAATAACATAAAATAAATATTAAATATTCAGCTACCTCCATAGCACAAGCATTACATAAAAGCAAAGTAACTAAAAGCTGGTGTTGTTTGTGAACAACTGGCAGTATAGCAGCTGCATGCAAAGTCAATCATATCAGAATTCATTCAATTTCAAGTTCGATATAACAATGAGTAGTTCAGTTTAGAATTATCACTGACCAGCTTGTTTCTTTTCAATGGAGGAGCCACTTCTCTGGAGAATTTCAAGGTCGACGAGGCCCAAAGACATGAGGCCCAATGTGAGACCAGACATGATCCCAGCGAAGAGCACGAGCAGGCAAGACACACCGGCGTACAAGAACCACCAGGGAGTTCCGAACTTGATATCATCGGGCTCAAAAACGATGTCGTTCATCGGTAACTTCGTCGGAGCTAGGGTTAGGGAATTAAAAAGCAACATGCGAGAGTGATGATGATTCGGTGTGGACGAAGACAGATAGAAAAGAAATGATTTATCTGCTTTTGTCAAGTGGGTTTGTCGTTTAGTTGTGTTTAAATAGAAGGGACAAATGAAAGTAAAGAGGATTTATGAATAAACGACAAGTCAGCTCTATGTTCATGGAAATTGTGTAACTTTGCGGTTATGATTGGACGTTTATACATATATAAGAGAGTTAAAATGATGAATCTAGTGTTAATGAATAATGATTGTAATTAACAGGCCATTGTTATTGTTCGCATTTTTTGGGACATGTCACCTTTTCCGTAGGCAGGAAGAAGAAGATGCTCTTGACAAACAGAACAATAGCGGAGCAGTTTTTTTTTCATATATTCATCTCTCTTAGTCAAAAAAATATATAGATACGGAAAAAACTAATTTAGGAAAATAGAGAACCTAATTGATCTAATTACCATAATTACAGGGAAGCACTAATTACAATATCAATTAGGAAATTCTACCAATCTTTCCTATAATTAACATAATCAAATGATACACTAAAATATCCTATAATTAAGCACAAATCATGCTAACACTCACCCTCAAGTTGGTGCATAGATATCTTGCATGCCCAACTTGTCCAGTGAGTTGGATAACACACCACTTGAAACTGCCTTGGGTAGGATATTGGCTAACTGGTCTTCAGATTTCAAAAATAGAACTTCAATAATCTGAGCTTCCAACTTTTCTTTAATGAAGTGCCTATCTATTTCTACATGCTTGGTGAGATCATGTTGTACAAGATTGTGAGCTATTGCAATTGCAGATTTATTGTCACAATATAAAGGCATAGCACTAGTAGGAATAAAACCCAAGTCTTTCATTATAGTCTTCTCCCGTAGTAACTCACATATACTTTGAGCCATTGTCCTATACTCAGCTTCAGCACTTGATCTAGATACAACCTTCTGCTTTTTACTCCTCCAAGTAACAGGATTATCACCAACAAAGGTGAAATAACCTGCAGTAGAACGTCTATCAGTATTATCTCCTGCCCAATCAGAAACAGTATAACCCTTAATATTCAAGTGATCATTCTTGGCAAACATAATCCCTTTTCCTGGAGCACTCTTCAAGTATCGTAAAATTCGATTCACAGCATTCATATGCCTTTCACTAGAAGCATGCATAAATTGGTTGATGACACTAACAACATAAGCTATATCAAGTCTGGTATGAGACAAATAAATTAACCTACCCACAAGTCATTGGTATCTCTCCTTGTTGGCTGGAACATCACTCGGGTTTTCATGAAGCTTATGGTTCTGTTCAATTGGAGTTTCAATTGGTTTCCAATCTAACATTCCAGTATCAGCTAATAAATCTAGTATATATTTCCTTTGGGAAAGAAATATGCCCTGGTTTGATCGAACCACTTCTATGCCAAGAAAATACTTCAAATCTCCAAGTTCTTTCATCTCAAATTCATTTGATAAATATTTCTTCAATTTTTCAATCTCAAAAACATCACTTCCAGTCAGTATCATATCATCCACATAAATAATTAAAGCAGTCACCTTTTCCTTTTTGTGCTTTAGAAACAGTGTGTGATCTGAGTTACTTTGTTTGTACCCAAAGTTCCTCATTACCAGTGCAAATCTTCCAAACCAAGCTTGAGGAGATTGTTTTAATCCATACAGTGCTCTTTTTAACTTGCACACCATTCCTGTCTTCTCTGAAACTCTCGGTGGAAGATCCATGTACACCTCCTCTTGAAGTTCTCCATGAAGAAAAGCATTATTCACATAATATTGCAACAATGGCCAGTTTTGATTAGTAGCTACAGAAAGCAATACACGTACAGTATTACTCTTTGCCACAGAAGCGAATGTCTCATTGTAATCCACCCCATATTTTTGAGTGTATCCTTTTGCAACCAATCTTGCCTTATACCTCTCTACTGAGTCATTAGCTTTGTGTTTTATAGTGAAAATCCATCGACACCCAACATTCTTCTTTCCTGGAGGCAAGGGTACCACATCCCAAGTGCAATTCTTTTGTAATGCTCTCATTTCTTCAGCCATAGCTTCGGTCCATTTAGTATTTGCTAATACATCCTACAACTGTCTTGGAATAGATACAGTGGATATTTGACACAGAAATGATTCATATGACTTGGAAACTCTATGGGTTGACACATGATTACTAATGGCGTACTTTCCTTTACTATTTAAATCTGCATCATATTGGGTTTTGGGTTTACCACGATTTATACAGGCTAGTAATTGATATTTTGGCGGTTCAGATTCGGGTTCAAGGTCAAGTTCAAGTGTAGTATTCAAACTATCACTAGTTTCATTCAAAGTTTCATCAGGTTCAGAAAGTACCTCATTCGAAGCCTCAGGAGTAGATTAAACATGTTGCGGAGACAAAGAGGAACTATCAGCATTACTATTAGCAGTATTTGGACATGTTGTCAAGCTATTTCCTTCTTCCAGAGAGTTCTTGGTATCTAGAGTATCATGTCTCTGGTCATTGGGAAGAGATGTAGCAACAATAGGTATATCATCATGGCTATTCTCTTCAAAAACACCATCCATCTCCCTCTGAAGAGGAAAGCCATCAGTAGAGAAATAGGTCAAATCCTCATTAAAAGTAACATCCATAGTAACATACATCTTTTGAGTGGGTAGGTGATAACAACGGTATCCTTTCTGATAAGAACCATATCCCACAAATACACATTTGACAGGCCGAGGTGATAGTTTGCTACGTTGATGAGAGTGAACATGGACATATGCAACACATCCAAAAACTTTGGGAGGGAGATTAGAGACAGGGGGCATATTCTTTATCTTTGCAGTGAGGACCTGAAATGGAGTTTGGAATGCAAGAATACTAGAAGGAACTCAGTTGATGACATACATAGCAAATAGTAAAGCCTCACCCCATAAATATTTAGGAACATTCTTTTCAAATAAGAAAGCTCGAGTAACCTCTAGAAGTTAGCGATTACGTCGCTCAGCCACACCATTCTGTTGTGGTGTATTAGCATAAGATGTTTGATGAATGATGCCTTGTGACTGAAAGAAAACAGCATAATCATTTGTGAGATATTCACCTTCATTGTCTGAACGAAGTACTTTGATAGTTGTAGAAAACTGATTTTGGACCATAGTGCAGAATTGTTTAACAACATTGTTCACATCACTCTTGTGCTTTATTAAATAAATCCATGTAATTCAAGTACAGTTATCAATGAAGGTAATAAACCATCGCATACCACCAGAAGTAGAATGGTGTGAAGGACCCCATACATCCGAATGAATGATAGTAAATGGCATTGATGCTTTATTATCACTTTTTGGAAATACTGTACAGTGGCTTTTAGCTAAAATACAAGTCTCACAAGTAGAACATTTGAATTCTTTATTATAAGACTCAAACAAAGTAGGTAAAAGATGCTTTAAGTAGCCAAACGATGGATGTCTAAGACGTTGATGCCATAACCAAATCAATTTCTCATTCTCCAATACATGCTTACTGGTCTAGTTTGTTGAAATCTCAACTTGGAGCCATGATGAAAGTACCACAAGTCCCCTCTCTTAAAACTATGTCCCATGTCTTCCTGAGTATAAAGATCCTGAAAAAGGCAATATTTCGAGAAAAAATGACAGGAATATGAAGTCATAAGTTTAGACACAGATAATAAATCAGTCTCTAAAGTGGGAACCAGGAGAACATTGGGTAACATAATATTGGGTGTAAGTTGAATCGTACCAATGCCAATAACAGCATTTATCTGACCAGTGGCAGTTCTAACACAATATTTTGAGCAATTTTTAGTGAGGGTAGTGAATTTCTTAGGGTTATTAGTCATATGATATGTTGCTCCTGTGTCAATTATCCATGCATTATCACAAGCAGACATAGAAGTACATAGAGCATAATCAAAGTTACCTGACTTGGCCTCATCTGCATTTTCAATGGTTGAAATGGTAGCAAGTGATGCTCTACTTCCTTGTTTTTTAGCAATAAGCTCATCTGCCCAATAAGGTCGACCATGAAGTTTCCAGCATTTGTCCACAGTATGATTTTTACCACAATGAGTGCATTTACGTTCATCTTTAGCCGGATTTGATCCACCAAATTTGAAAAAGGGTTTTGGAGACTCATATAAACTGCCCTCCTTCCCTTTACGTGCAACTAAGGCGCTACCACTTGTCTTTTCCTCACTCCCCATAGTTTTTAAGCGAGTATCCTCCTCACAAATAATGGCATAAGCTTTTAGGACATCAGGAAGAGGATCAAAACGAAGCACATGGGCACGAGCTCCATCAAGATGAGAATCTAATCCTGCCAATAAGATGTAAACACGAAAATTTGTGACAGTTTCTAAGTGGGTGCAGAGATCAATTTCATTCTTGATCTGAGGAAGATTGATAGCATCGAGTTCCTGCCAAATAGTTTGTAGTTCTTCATAGTAAACTTCAAAGGTACAACCTTCTTGTTTGATGTTGATAGATCTTTGTGTTAACTCATATACTTTGGAAGAATTATTACTTACAATATAGGTCTTCTCTATAGCACACCAGATAGCCGCTGCTGTAGGAAGATGTCAGGGACCAAGAATCATGGGATGGGAGTGATTGATGCTTACCATTAATCATTAAATTAGTGTTATTTCCTTTCAATCAATATTATTTCCTTTCAATAAATTTGTGCTAGAATTATGCAATTGTAATTTTCCTTTTTTGTAATAATGGGTTATTGCCTATTCCATCAAAAGCTGTTCAGCTACTTAATAGCTTGAGGCTAAGAATGAATATTATCTGATCAGTATTATCTTCAACCTTGGGTTGATTTGGAGTTGTAGTTTTTTTTCGAATTAAACCAAATAAAGAGGCCTAGGATCCCTCGAAGTGTCCTACAGAATTCCATCATAGGTAGAGTAAGCAAGAATGATCCTTGTTCTATACCCATTCATGAACCCATTACGAGGTCGCAAACACTGGCATGTCAGAACTTGGTATCACAGCCAGGCATGTCCGACCACCATCTCGAGCAAGTGGAGAA